GGCAGGGACACGCAGCGGCCGGAGGGCTGCCTGTGCCCTTGCGGCCTCCCGCTGTAGTCCCACAGATCTTGGATTAATTCAGTTTTGCTCGGTGGGGTTACTTCAGCAGGGTGGGTCAAGCGTGCTTTTCTCCTTTTCCTTCCTTTCTGTTCCTGGCTTCCCCCTCCCTGCCTTTTTCCATCCTCCTTTCGCCCAGCCGCTAGGGCCTGTCAAACCTGGCAGGCTGGAAACTCCTTGGGCAAACAGCTATTAGGGAGCTCTCTAAAAAAGAGGCTGCATTTTTAAAAGAGGAACCAGGTGCGTTTTAGCGTTTTAGAAGCTTTGCCAAGTTTGGAAAGCTGTAGAGTTCCCGTCTTCAGGAGAGGATCTGGGCTGTGGTACGCAGGACCCCGGCTGTTCCGGTGATTTACTGTGGAGGTCAGAAATGTGAACGCGGTTCGTGGGAACAAAAGCCCTTTGGAGTTGTGAAAAAAGACAGAAGGAAATACAGACTCTGGAAGCCCCTAAATAGTTAATTGCTGGCAATGGGACTGTGCAGTGCAGGAGTGATTACCTGCACTTGCCCCCCGGGTTGCCTTGTTTTTCCTCTTGGCCAGTATCAGAAATGGGCCACCAAGCTTGATGGACCTTTCATCTGGCTCAGTACATGCTTAGGTAGTACTTCCTTAAGTCCTCAGTGGTTTTTAGTTTTAGATACTGGATATGCTCATTTTGCACAACTGCATACTCAGTGGATGCTATTTTGCATGCTGCTCTGAGGTATCTTAACACTGTCCTGCCTGGAGAACCAACATGCTGATACAAGGTTGTGGATTCCCCTGCAAATGAGATTACTGCAATTAAACACTGGGACAGCTAAGTCTCTGTTTCTGGGAAGACTCTCTGAAACCTGGATAATACTTCTCTAAGTTAGGTGAGAATATGGAAAAAAGAAATAATCAGTAGACTCAAAACCTTGTTCCAGATTCTCTTATCAAAAATAATGAGGAAAGCAAAAATAAAAGTTAGATTATTAATGGATAGACTGCTGCAAGAAAGGATACGTCGTGAATTATCCTTTCTAGGGATACAAAAATGAAAAAAAGGAATCGTTTCACGTGAAGAAGAGGAAAGCAGTCATGTAAACAAGACTGAGCACAGAAAAGATTACAGGGGGTGTTGTTATGTAAACCAAATTGCTAGCAATTCTTCAATAAATTACCAAGAAAGAGCAAGATTGGAATTGACTGTTTTAGTTGTAAGCTCATTGGAACTGTAACTATGCCTCCTTACATTCTTTATGTAATATCAAGCACACGATTAATATGCAAAAATAATACTAATTAAAGAATGGACAGCAATAATGGTGGGGATGGCAGGAGGATATAGGGAACTTAAATTATTCCAATAAGAAAATACGACACTTAGGTGTATAGGTTTATATCACTCTCTCCTTTGGCATAAAAGAATCAAGGTTGATACAGCATGGGCTATATGAACTTTGCTGACCAACATGTTTTGTTCTAATTAAATTCCACACATTTTGTGAATTCCCTAAAGAGCTTTTCTTAGAATCTTAAAACTGCCACAAATGATATCGAGAGAAGTGGAAGCTGGGCTCTTTTGATACAGGCAACAACAGAAATGAATTGCTGTTGGGGCCTTCTCTGTGAGTGTCTCATAATTTGTTTAAAACATTATATCATTTAGCGTGCTTTAAAAAAAAAAAGCCTAGGAAATGTAGCAAGCTGATAGAATTATTCGGGGAAGAGAGGCTGGTTATCTCTGTTGCTGCGCTCAGAGGTTTAAATTAGTTTAGGGGCTCCTGGCACCTGGCTACAGGCACTTCTCATCACTTTTACAGCTTGAAATAAGTAACACCCTAAATTACTTTACAATTGGTAGCTTTTCACAATACATTGCATTTCTTTGCTATTTTTATATTGCCAACTGAAATACCATTTAATGGTTTAAATGTGGCAATAAATTTTTGGTTTTCAGAAAAGAACATCTGCAGTTTGCCAGATATCAACAGATGGCAGACTATTTTTATTTCTGCTCATATGTATACTTTAACAATATTTATGAATTAATAATAGGTCCAGACACAACATTTTGATGACTGTTTCAAAGCTGTCTTCACACAATAAGCAAGGATCATACAGCAGGAAAGTCTTCAGTGTTACAGTTGTTTCACAAAAATGTTGGTTGGAAAGGACCTCTGGAAGTTGCTTAGTCCAGACTCCCACTCAAAGAGGAACTATCAATGAAGTAAGTCAGATCTGCTGTGGCTTTATCTTCACAACTCTTGAAACAATCCAAAGATGAAAATTTCACAGCTTGTGCACATCCAAGTAAATCATTTTTTTTCATAATGTCTTTGCTGGACCTCCCAAGCCCCAATTTCTGGTTATTGCTTCATGTTATATTGTCTGCCACTACAAGGAAGTGTTTGGCTCTGTCATGTTTGTAACTGCCCTTCAAGTAGCTGTAGGCTACAATGATGCCACCCCTTAGGCCTTTCAAAAGACAAAACAGCCCCAGCTCCCTCAGCCTCTCGTCCTGGGTGATATGATCTTGATCCCGATCATCTTGGTAGCCCTTTACAGGAGCCCCTCCTCTTGAAGTGGGGAGCACAAAACTGGACACTGTATTCTAGACAGGGCCTCACCAGCCCTTCCCCCTAACCCCGAAGGGGAGACAATGACTTTCCTCAGTCTGCTGGCCATGCTCCTTCTAATGTAGCTTTGTGTGTGATTTGCCTTATTTGGGGTGAGAGCACACTGGTTGCTTATATTAGACTTTCCTTTCACCATAACTGCAGGTCCTTTTCAGCAAGGCGGCTGCTCAGCAGCAGCTCTGCCCCAGGTACAGGGCTTTACATTTCTCCTTGTTTGCATTTCTACTTGTTGGACCTGTTAAGGCTTCTGTCAGCCCAATCCTTAAGTTTTTCAACGTGCCTCTGATCTGAAGCTCTACCATCTGGCATATCAGCCACTCCCCTTAACTTAGTATTTCTGTAAATATGCCCAGGGTACATCCTGTCCCATCATCTGGCTTTTTGAAGAAGATAATGAACCATATGGGCCCTAGTATCAACCTCAAGGGTGCTCTGCTTGTTACTGGCCTTCAAGTAGATGGTAAGGCCTCAGTTGCTACCCACTGAGCCCAGCACACTAGCCAGTTTTCAATCCGTCTAACAGCCAGCTTGTTCAGGCCGTATTTCCTCAGCTTCCAAGTGAAAATGCTGTGGGAAATGATTTCAAAAGCCTTACTAAAGTCAAGATTTATTATGTCCACTGCTGTCCCCTTGTCTGTGTAGCCAGCCATTTCATCCCAGGATGCCATCCAGTTGCTCACGTATGCTTTGTCCTTGGTAAATCGACACTGACTGTTCTTGATTACCTTTTTTAGCCTTCACCATGTCTCTTTTTACTACATCTGCATAAACATTTTTCCAATATCTTACAGTCTCTGTGGCCAAAAACTGAATCCTTCTGGTTTTCTGAAAAGTTGTCAAGTACCTTCTAAATTCAATTTTACCATGTAATAATTTCTTGCCCCCGTGTCATTAGGGTACATTTCTGGAACAGATTCTTCTGTGTCATTAAAGAGGCTGGGCTTACAGGCCTCCCTTTAGCTGTCCACTAAGTTGAGAAAACGCTTTCAAAACTAGCATATCATCTCTTTGTGGCCTTACACACTGAAGGTTTTCTGTGTGCATTTAGCATACACGGTTTAATTTTGTAACGTGCTTAATATCCTTGCTCCATTTGAATCCTTTGGAGCTGTGAATCTGTGAATACTCAGACCTGAGGTTTCTAATGGCATTAAGCAGAGCAGAATGCTGCTAGCTAACAGTACACAGAGCATGCTAACAACATCATTTGGCATATTGATGGAGAAAAATTCTCAGGCATCTACTGGAAATAATTTCTTGATTTGCTTTTTTCAGTGTGTAATAGATTTCTTCAAAAGCGTACATTAAAACATTTGTACAATTTATGTGGGATAAAATATGCGTGTGAGATACATTTGCCCTTAATACAGAATCACAGAATCACAGAATCGTTTAGGTTGGAAGGGACCTCTGGAGATCATCTAGTCCAACCTCCCTGCTCAAGCAGGGACCTCTAGAGCATTATGCCCAGGATGACATCCAGACGGGTTTTGACTGTCTCCAGGGAAGGAGACTCCACTACCCCTCTGGGCAACCTGTTCCAATGCTCTGTCACCCTCACAGTGAAGAAGTTTTTTCTCAGGTTCAGATGGAACTTCCCGTGGTTCAGTTTCTGCCCGTTGCCTCTTGTCCTGTCGCTGGGCACCACGGAGAAGAGGCTGGCCTCATCCTCTTGACACTCCCCCTTCAGATACTTGTACACATTGATGAGATCGCCTCTCAG